GACCACCACGCGCCTCTCTTCTTTTCCCTCTCTTCTTTCGCGTTACGTCTCCCCCCTACTGCCCTCTTCGCTGCTCTATCTCTCTTCCGCTTTGGCCTCGCTGTACGTTACACTCTTGCACGCACGTTACGTTTCTACTTGTCTCTCTCTATCCCGCGTTTTCTTTACTTTCTTTACTTCCTTTACTTTCCTTAGTTTCTTTATTTCTTGCCTTTCGTTCGTTGGACGAAGATTCTCTTCTACCCTATATTTCTTTCTTCGTATTTGCTCCTATTGGGTAAGTATGCTACCTTTTCTTCTCTCCTTGGTTTCTTGGTTTCTTGGTGTCTTTCTTGGCTTCTTGCCCCCTTTCGCTGGCCCCACGTTACACCTTCCATGCGCCTCGCCTTTCTTCCTTCCCTTACCTCCCTGTTTTACCGTTCCGTATCGCGCCGCTGCCGCGGTACCCTCGATGCCTCGTCAACGTGCTATACGTTGCTTCTTGTTTTTGTTTCTCCTTGTTCTTCTTCTTATCCTTCCCCACACTCTCGCACACCGTTCCCTCGATCTTTTCGCCCCTTATTAACACCGATCCGGTGTTCTCCGTTTCTTCTCTTCGTCTTAGTCGTTTCGATCTTTTCTCACCCCTAGATTTAATACGCTTCTTCCAGTGTTGTTATTATTGCTCTCAGCTATTCACCTGACGTAATCTAGGGCTACGATGATCCTCGGATGATAGGAGGCCTAGGGAAACTACAGAATGGTTATTAAAAGAGCGAAAGACGCACGCGATCACTTGCGAATCTGAAGGAATATCGTTCAGGGATACTCTCGCGCACACGCTTCTGTCACGAGTGCTTTACTTCAGTTTTTGTTCACGTCTTTCGGCGTTGTTCCACTTTTTGGTTGCTTCTTTGATGCTCTTCCACGTTGTCCTTCAGTTTGGGAGCATTTGTTGCGCAGGTTAGTGTCGAGTGTCCTTTATTTCCCTTTTTCTAGCGATTTCTGCTTGATTTCTGTTTCGTTTTCGTCGATAATCGTCGTGATCTTTGTTGCTCCTATCTTTTTCCTCGTTGGCTATTTTTCTACGGTCATCTTTGTTTACTCGGGTTCGGTTAACGGGCCTGGTCCGTGACGTGTGTTCACGCGAACCTGCAACGCAAATTCCGGGGAGCACGGTCGGCCGCGTCGCGCATGAGTTCTCGTTTTCTCCGGTTCCTCCGTCTCCTTTTCATTCTTCTTAGACGCGGCCCAAAACTCTATTGAGGTCAGCCGAACGTACCTGTGAACAGTAACAAGGTCGTCCCTTAATTCACTGCGGCAGTATGTTTCCGCTTCTGGTTTCTTGCGTGCCGTTTCTCGTAGGGAAAACGATGGAATTCGGGGATGGTGAGCAGTGGGCAAACGCGGACGATGTCGAGGTAATTTGATGCTTCGGTGTTTCGCGAATGAATTAGAAACATTCCTGAATGGATTCTTTTCTTTTTCGGGTGAAGAATGATTTATGTAGGTGAACAGGGTGAAATTGACTACCTGAGGAAACCGTTTAGTATTCTTTTTAATTCTGTGCGGTTTTTTGTAACGAAATAAATTAGAATTAAGGTATTACCAAGAATTATACTTAGTAATAATAGTTATTAAGAATTGCATATAATTAAATTATAATTATTCGCAATATTATAATTGTATTACAATATTAAACTATTATTAAAATTGAATTGAGTTAGAAATTAAATTGAATTATTTCTTAATTATTTCTGTTATTTTT